TGATATGACTCTCTCATACGTCCTTACAGTGTAAGTTGTATTAACTATGTCTGAATTTAAAAGTGCGAAAACTGTAACTAAACATTTTTGTTAACGTTGAAATGTAGCATCTTTGACTAGTATTGGCGCTTTACTATATTTATCATATATTTATAATGGAACAAAAAATAAAGTAGTATAAAGTAAATGAGTAAGGGTATGCTATTATTTACGAAAGTTCAAATAAACAAGAAAGTGTACATGGGCAGTTTGTGTGTAAAAGGTTATTTCTTGGCTGCTTTCATCCATGGATGATTAAGTGCTTTTTCTGGGGTCATTCTTTCTGATGGCTCCCATGTAAGGCATTTGTTGATAAAGTCAACAAATTCTCTATCATAAGCGTCATGGGATGATCTTTTTAATGCTTCGGTGAAGGTCATGGAGTTTGGCTTTCTTTTTTTCCCTTTTGAATTAATTGATTTCCTAGGCTGATCGTACATGTCTGTCAAAAGAATAAGACAAAAAAAAAAAATCATAAAGGAGTTGCTATGACTTACCAAAGAATTGCTTTTTTCTGGCACATCGATCCAGATATTGCTTATCTGGCACGCCCAGCAGTTGCATAATACACGCTAATTGATCAGGTTCGTTTTCTCCAGGGAACAAAGGTCGACCTGTATATAACTCGGCTAATATACAGCCCGTACTCCACATGTCTATAGGTAAGCCATATTCTAATCCCAATATAACTTCAGGTGCACGATAAAACCTGCTCTGAATATATGAATATACTAAAAGGACTGTAAGTTTGAAAAAATATTCAAGTTGTTTTTTGGCAGAAATTACCTCTTTCATTTACGAAGCATGAGCTTCCAAAGTCGATTATCTTTATCCCACTTTTATCAGGCTGTTTCAGTAGAATATTCTGTTGAAATTCAAAGAGATGTTATTAGCTGCTTTATAGAAGCACTCTTTTTTTTAAAACTTACTTCTGGTTTAAGATCGCAATGTATAATCTTATGATCGCTCAATAGCTTCAAAGCTGACAATATCTGATGAGCAAATCTTTGTTAATTGTATAAACATTTAGTACATGGTTCAGATCATATATATATATATATATTCAGAGAAAAAGATGTCTAGTTCCACCTACCTTTTTACTAAGCCAATGCTAAAGCCTTGGTACGAGTTTTGCTGCAAGACTTCATAAAGGTTTAAGCTTAGACATTCAAATACAATGCATAAATGCTCTCTAAAGTAAAAGTTATCCAACATTCTCACAATGAAATACTTGTTATGAGGGTCCTACGCCAATAACCATTAATTCCTTTGGAGGGGATAAAGTGCTTCTCGTCTTACCAGTTGCATTAATTTTTCTAATATTTTAATCTCAGTCAGTGCTTGAGCGTGAAATCTCTTTTTGTTCCGAATGATCTTGACAGCTACAATATTGTTGACTTGATTTTTATCTTTAGATTGTGGCTTCATGTCTCTACATTTAACAACTTGACCAAAGGACCCTTTGCCGAGGCTCTCGATAATCTCATACCGGTAATTCAAATGATCCCTAATGACAATTTGATAATCACCTTTCTCGTCATCATATCCATAATTGAGGGTTGTCTGATCAGTAGTAGCCCAATGCTTTTTGGCATAGGAGCCAACACAGTAAACAGAGTGATACTTTAAGATCTCTGTTTGTTCATATGGTGATAAATATGGTTTGAATCGATGAAGAGCCACTAGAGAATATATTGCTTAATACACGCATATAAAAACTATTCTCTAATACTAACTTTTGGCGTTCACAGCTTCGATAGTCCCCTTTTCTTTCTTATAGTCAATCGCTGTCGAACCATCTTTCACGTCTTCCCCTTCAACTAAGCATTGTAGCCTTTCGTGAATTTTTTCGATACGATTGGGTTCAATGGAATTGCTACTAGCTGTCTCTTCCTCGGGCTGACTGATCACACCTTGGGCAGAAATTAAACTAGCGCTAGTCTTTGTTAATTTCTCGCGATCTTTTGCAAGTTGATCATGTAGTAAATCATTTGTTGGACAAGAAATAAATCTCGATGAATAAGAAGGTAGGCTTTTAACTGATTTAGAGGCAAAGATCTCTGGCTTTCGAAGCTTTGTTGTTTGCATGATAGACATCTGATCTTCCTTATGTTGCTTATTTAGCGTGACCGTTTCTCCAGGTGTTTGTGTTTCACTTTCACTTTCGCTGCTACTGCTACTACTACCGCTGCTGCAGTCATAGCCTGTTGTTTGCTCAGCATTTTTGCATTTGCCCTTATCAACACTTTTGAATATGCCAGATTGTCTATTTTGAACGGGTATAGGTAATCGAGTATTACTACCGCTTAATGCTTTCATTGTTCGTTCTTGTTTCATTGGCTCGCTCATTTGGTCTAACGACGCCTGGAAAAGAAGGTATTGATGATCAAACTCATCAATTGAGAGATTTCAGCTTGGAATGAAAAGGTTTCAGTTTCGGCGACCATCTTGTGAAGGAAGAAATCT